AGGCTGACACAGGAGAATCGCTTGAACCCATGAGGCAGTGAGTCAATATCACGCCACTGTACTCCAGCCTGGGCAACAGAGCAAGACTCTGTCTCAAAAAAAAAAAATTGTAATGAGAATACAGCCTACCCATCAGAACGCTGCAAGTGAGAATTAAATGAGATGATGTTTAGAAAAGCATTCAGGAAGCAGCTTGCAAACCAGCCCTTCTCCCCCGTACGTGCTACTGTGAAAGCAACGTTGGATCTGGGCTACCCTTCCACTCCACCCTGTAGTTCCCAATGTTGTGGACATTTAAGGGATCCAGCTGGCCACAGGGCCAACCTCACAGCCAGCCTACACTGTCCCCAGGCCAGGTGGCAGAATCCCAAACCAGCCCTCCTCACTTCTGCACCGATCTTGTGTTAAATACTCAGCGTCCCTGGAACCCCAGCCAAGGTCATCTAAGGAACCTGTGCTTCTGGCATGGCTCTCACTTGGCCGCTGGATACCTGCAGGGCAGCTGGGAGTGACCAGAAGGTCTCTGGGTGTCAAATATCTACAGCACCTGGTGTAACCTCACCAGCTGTTCCCGAGAAGCCATTCAAGATGCACTGCTAACATTTAAACTGAAACCCAAGTCAGGGTTGGCTAGAACCTGTAAGACCAAGATCTGAGCAGCCAGTTGGACCAACGTGCCAGGGGCCATGTCAGATGGGTGTTGGTTGGGTCATACCAGGGAAGATAAGTGGTAATGTGGAGTTCAGCGTACTGCTGGTGAATTAAGTTGCTCATTTCACTCCTTTCAGAAGCACTCAAGTTCATGGGCAGAAAAGAATGCTGAGAAAAGTACTGATCAGTTCCGATGGCCAGGCGTGGTGGCTCACGCCTATAATCCCAGCACTTTGGGTGGCGGAGGCGGGAGGATTGCTTGAGCCCAGGAGTTTAAGACCAGCCTGGGCAGCACAGCAAGACCCTGTCTCTACAAATTAATAAAATATTTAAAAATTAGCTGGGCATGGTGGTGCCACCTGTGGTCCCAGCTACTCAGAAGGCTGAAGCAGGAGTACTGCTTGAGCCTGCGACATCAAGGCTGCAATGAGCTATGATGGCACCGTTGCACTACAACCCCGGGTGACGGAATGAGACCAAAAAAAAAAAAAACCCTGAGCACAAGGGTATGCCACTCCTGCCCGCTCCACTCTACCCCTGGCCGGAAAAGAGGCTCAACTAAGCAAAAGGACGTTTGGCGAATTGCATGGGAAATACTGCACACTGGTTACATATTTAACAAAATTGTGAAAATTAAGTAAGACTTTGCAGAGACAAGCTATAAAAAACGTGTGAAATGCTCAAAACTAGCAAGAAAGAAAAAGGTAAAGGGTGGATAAGCCACAAAGAGAAATCATCCTTTCCTGCTTGAACCGGGGAGACGGAGGTTGCAGTGAGCTGAGATCACACCACTGAACTCCAGCCTGGGCAACAGAGTGAGACTCCATCTCAGGGGGAAAAAAAAGGAGGCAGATGTTGGGGGAGAATGGGAGGCAGAGGGGAATCATCTCCCAGGAAGCACAGGACCCCCATCCCTCAAGACTTGGATCCAGCAGAAAGGCTGGCCCAGCCTTAAGGAGGGGACATAGGAAGGGGTGGGCAGAGGGAGGAAGGTCCCTTGTGTGGCCTCAGGCTCCCAACTCTGCCAGGTTACAATCTCACTTAATGAGGGGTTGGGCAAAGGCTCGTCATTAAAGGAAGAGTTTGGCCAGGTACGGTGGCTCTCACCTATAATCCCAGCACTTTGGGAGGCCAAGGCAGATGGATCACTTGAGGCCAGGAGTTTGAGACCAGCCTGGCCAACATGGTGAAACCCCATCTCTACTAAAAATACAAAAAATTAACCAGGCATTGTGGCGCACACCTGTAGTCCCAGCTGCTCGGAAGGCTGAGGCAGGAGAATCACTTGAACCTGGAAGGTGGAGGTTGCAGTCAGCTGAGATCGCGACACTGCACTCCAGCCTGGGGCGACAGAGTAAGACTGTGTCTCATAAATTAATAGAAGATGCTCTTCTTCAACCCCTCCTCCTTCCTGCTGGCTGGAATGTAGATGTGATGGCTGATGCTCCAGCAGCCGTTCTACACCATGCAGTGGAAATCACAAGCTGAAGATGGTGCAGTAACAAGATACTGTGTAACGGGCACCAAGTTATGTGTAAAAAACCCTGGACCCTGACACTGAGGGCACCATGCCAACCCTACATGACCCTTGTTTTTCTTTTTTCTGAAACAGCGTCTCCCTCTGTCACCCAAGCTGGAGTGCAGTGGCACATGCTTGGCCCACTACAACCTCTGCCTCCTGGGCTCAAGCAATTCTCATGCCTTGGCCTCCTCAGTAGCTGGGACTATAGGCACATGCCACCATGCCTGGCTAATTTTTGTATATTTAATAAAGACAGGGTTTCGCCATGTTGGCCAGGCTGATCTTGAGTTCTTGGCTTCAAATAATCCTCTTGCCTCAGCCTCCCAAAGTGCTGGGATTTCAGGCCTGAGCTACCAAGCTGGGCTTGGATCTCTTTAATGTAAGAAAGGAATATCTTTCTTTCTTTCTTTCTCTCTTTCTTTTCCAAGACGGAGTTTTGCTCTTGTTGCCCAGTCTGGAGTGCAATGTCGTGATCTTGGCTCATTGCAACCTCCACCTCCTGGGTTCAAGCAATTCTCCTGCCTCAGCCTCTCAAGTAGCTGGGATTACAGGCATGCCACACCATGCCCGGCTAATTTTGTATTTTTAGTAGAAATGGGGTTTCTCCATGTTGGTCAGGCTGGTCTCAAACTCCCAACCTCAGGTGACCCGCCCACCTCGGCCTCCCACACTGCTGGGATTACAGGCGTGAGCCACCATGCCCCGCCTCTTTCTTTCTTCACTTCCTGCCTTTTCTGTGTCTCTTTTATATAAGAGAGAAATACATTTCTTTCTTTCACCTTCCTTCCTTTCTTTTTTGAAACAGGATCTTGCTCTGTCACCCAGGCTCATGTGCAATCACGTGATCCCCAGCCCAACACGTGGCCTCAAGCAATCCTCCCACCTCAGCCTCCCAGGTACCTGGAAATATAACCATGGCCACCAAACCCAGTTAATTATTTTTTTGTAGAGACAGGGCCTCACTACATTGGCGATGCTGGTCTCAAACTCCTGGCCTCAAGTGATCCTCTCTCTTTGGCTCCCCAAAGTGCTGGGATGACAGCCACTGCACCTGGCCCAGGAGATACATTTCTATTATATTCTGTTAAAGCCATTATTTGGTATTCGGTCTCATACAGCTGAGCTGAATCTTAACCAATCAACAGAGGAAGTAAGAATCTTTTTTGTTAGTGAGTTGGATCAAAGACTGTTATAGAACTGGGGCTCCCTGCTGGGCGTGGTGGCTCACGCCTGTAATCCCAGCACTTTGGGAGGCCAAGGCAGGAGGATCATCTGAGGTCAGGAGTTCGAGACCAGCCTAGCCAACATGGTGAAACCCCACCTCTGCTAAAAGTACAAAAATTAACCTGGCATGGTAGCAGGCTACTGTAGTCCCAGCTACTCGGAAGGCTGAGGACAGGAAAATCCTTGAGCCCAGGAGGCGGAGGTTGCAGCAAGCCGAGATCAAGCCATTGCACTCTAGCCTGGGCAACAGAGCAAGACTCCATCTAAAAAAAAAAAAAAAAAGTGGGCTTCCTGCCAAGGTGGGAGACAGAGATGAGAGAGGAGTAGGGGAGTCTTCTGAATTGGCAGCACTAGTAGTAGAAGCAAGGCTGATTCCTGGATTAACAGAAATGGTGAGAGAAGAAATGGGAAAAATCAAAGGACATCCCTGCAGTGACAGCGGTGGAGGGTGGGGTCCCAGAGGACGCTGGAGGAGCTACTATGCTAGACTATGTAGGGAAAGCCCTCCCGGCTGGACAGGTTAGGTTCCAGTGTTGACAAAGGTTGCTGAGAGTTCAAGGTGAAAAGAGGGCTAGTTCCAGGAAATGATAACCCTGGTGATAAACTGTCCCTGCCCTCCCTATATCTTCATTGCACAGGCCTAGAAGCTCATGACGACAGAGATTAGGTGACACCTGCATGGCACAGCTCATCTGGAGGGTGAGAGGGGCAAGCTTTCATCAGCAACAGGGCCAAAAATCCCTTAAGCCTTAGGACTGGGTCAGGCCTCGGCGCACTCGATCATAGTTTGTTTCCCTCACTTTATTATTTTTGCGGAGACAGGGGTCTCGCTTTGTCGCCCAGGCTGATCTCCACCTCCTGAACTGAAGCGATCCTCCTGCCTTGGCCTCCTAGAGTGCTGGGATTACAGGCACTGCAAGAGCGGCCACGCCCGGCCCCATCATTTTAATAATTCATAATTATCACGCTTAGAAACCTGCCTCAGACCCATTCCCCCCGCAGCTACATCCACTGTCCATCCTTTTGTCCCCTGCCCCCACCCACAGCCCTTACGTCTGCTCTTCAGGGAGCTCAATTAGGGTACGTGGTCTGGCCAGAGGGGAGCCTTCAACCAGTGCAGCCAGGACGCTGAAGGTCGGATGCAGGGAGCCTCGGTGTCCAGACAGGGGATTTGAGGGTGCCTGAGAGTGGGGCAGGGAGAGCCGGAGACAGTGGGCACAGATGGCAAGGGGTTCACCTGCCCAGAGCCCCCAACCCAGCCCAGTCTCCGAGGCCCGAGCGGCTGCTTTTTGCGCCACCTGGCGGCCGTCTCTAGTGAGCGGAGCGCGGGTGTCAGTGCCTGCGGGACCCGATTCCCGCGGGGCGAGCGGACGCGAAGCACGCCCAGCTTGGAGAGCCGGGAACCGCGCGGCCCAGGGCCGGCAAGACTCTGGATTCACCCCCTGCTAGGCTCCGAGACCCGATGCCGGAGGTCCGCGGCGGCGCACGCGTGCCCGGAGCACTGCGGAGCGCGTGGCAGCCGGAGCGAGCGTGCGCGCACCCGCCCACCCCACGCCGCGCCCCGCACCGCCGCGCGCGCGCACGCACGCCCCGACGCTGGCCCGCGCCGGCCGCTCTCCCACGCGGGGGCCCAGGGGCTCCCGAGGGTGCTGCCTCCAGGAAGCAGGCGCCGCGCGCTATTGCCGCCTGCACCTCGGGCGTGGGGACCCGGCACCAGCAGCCCGGTCCCCACGAGTGACCTCCTGGAGGGCGGGGCCCGGGGGGGAATCTGCGCGGGTCAGGCCCCTTGGAGCAGGCTGGGGGTGCCCGGGCCAGGCCGCTCCCACCTGCCAGCCGCGCGGCCAATGAATGCTAGGCCTGGTGATGTCATGCCCTGACCGGACCCTGATGACGAATGTCCGAGGTCACCTGTCAGAGAACCAGCGCAGACCCACCCGCGGGGGTTCCAGAAGTTTCCACTGCCGCCGCGGAGTGCGGCCTCGCCCCGCAGCCTTGCGCGTGCCACCACGCTGGCCTGCCTTCTCGGGTGTCCCCTAGTCACCCCTTCCGCCCCCGGGGGTCTCCTGTCTCCATGCCCCCCACCTCATTTCCACTAGCGATCCCATGTTTACATCTCCATTCCCACAGGTGTCCCTTCATCCCTAGGAGTGTCCCACGCCACCTTTTCTGCACCAGTGCCACCTGGACCCCTAAGGGGACCATCCTCGACCACACTCCTACATGGCTCTCCTCCCATGCCACCGCTGTCTGTGTCGTGGCCGGGGATGCATGAACCCTTGGCCTTGAGCCAACTTCCCCAGCCTCTAGCGAGGCCGTCAGGGTGTCCAAGTGTGTCCGTCCGTCTGTGAAAGTCGGTCCCTGCGTTTGTCTGTGCCTGTCGCTGCATGAGGTCGTCCGTCTGCGCGTGTCTGTCTCCGCGGGCTTCTGTCCGTCTGTCTGTCACGTGGGTGTCTGCTCCGCCGCTGCAGGTCTTTGGGTCGCGTCTGTCACTGCGCGTCTGTCGTCGGTCGGCGTCTGGCACTGGAGTGCGTCTGGGCCCCGGGGTCTCCGGGTCTCGACTCCGAGGGAGGGAGAGGGAGGGGAGGTGGCCGCCCGGGGGAGCGGGGAGGGGCGGGGGCGGAGACAGTGGGCGGGGGCGGGCGGGGGCGCCGTGTGGCCCGGAGGGGGTGTGTGTGGGGGGCCGGAGGCGGCGGCTGTCAGAGTCGGCTCAGCCTGCACGGGGGAACATCGGCCGTCTCCAGCTCCCGGCGCGGCCCGGCCCGGCCCGGCTCGGCCGCCTCAGGTGAGTCTCCCTCCCCGCCTGGGACTCTCCTCCCGGCCCCCGTCCGGGCACCGTGCGCTCCCCGAGGGGTCCAGGCCTCCCTAACGGGACGGCTCCCGCGTCCCCGGGCCTGCCCCGCGCCGCCCCCCTCCGCCCGGCACTCGTCCGGAACTCTTCCCCGGCCGCCGCACACTCACCGACGCCCACGCAGGAGCCCGAGCTCGCGGGGACGGCCGCCGCCTCTGCACTCCGATTCCCGCGGGGACCCCCGAGCGCCCCTTCCCCGATCGCTCCCTAGTCCAGGGCCACTGGAAGACAACCCCTGATTGGGGCGGCACCCGAGCTGCGCAGGTTCCCGGCGCCCGACTGGCACCCCCATCCCCAGGGCCACAAGCCCAGCGTCCCTGCGCAGCGCCCCGCAGAGGCCCCCTGCGAGGCCCAGGACGCCCCCTCCCGCGGAGACTCCATCTCTATTTTTTGGGAAGGGGAGGCTCAGCGGAAGCCCCAGTTATAATTAGCGCCACTCGGGTTTCCTAGTTAATCTCCAGCAGCACCATCACCACCCCCAGCTCAGGGCGGCGGAGGCTGGGCGAGGGGTGACCGGCGGGAGAGGGGGGAGTTCCCACCCGGGGAATTTTGATCCTTTGGCTGGAGATGCCGGAACCGTAGCAGCTGCTGCCCCCAAAATAGCGCCCCCGCCCCTGCAGCCGGGGATCTCCGGAGCCCCGGGAACACAGGCGTCCCGGCTCGCCCTTCAGGCGGCTCTGCAAGGCCCTGGAGCCCCCAGGCCCCCACCCCAAGTTCCCGGCTCCCGTCTCGGGGCGGGGAGCGCCGACCTTTTCTCGGTCTATACTGCCCTCCGCAGGCGGCGGCGTGTATGGCAGCTCCAGACGGTTGGGGGTGCTCTCGAGTACTGGGGGGCGCGGGCTGGAAAGCCTGTTTGTTGGGGCTGGCCTGGGGGCGTGCGCAGCTGATGGGAACCCGCAGGCATCAGCGCTCGGTGCCAGACACTGGATGAGACAGGGCAAAGTGGGATGGGGAGTGGACTAGGCAGGATTTGGGGGACCCGGGAACCTGAGGCTTCCACACCCTGAATGCCCAGCCTACCGGCCCCCAAAGGCCCGGGCCTGGACAACTCAGGAGAGGGGCCTGCGCTTTCAGGCCGCCGCACGCTCCCCCAGCGGCGCCGCCCGTCCGTGAGGCCGCGCCCCTGTCGGGTGGCCTGTACATGGACTGCGGCCTCTGGTGCCCACACTGCAGGAACTGGGCCGGGCCCAGTTCCCAGAGGTGGCAAGGAGGTGAGGGCGGTCGGCCCCCAGCGGGGTGCTCCTCTCTGTTCCCTGCATTTGTCTGGATGGGAGTGTCTGCCTGATCTCTGTCCCCTCCTGCCCGCTGGCCTGTGTCCTTGTCTCTGCCCATCCTCTTTCCTCCCTCCCTCTCTACCCTCATCTTTGCCAGCCTGCCCCACCTCCTCTGCAGCTGAGTGATAACCCTTGGGCTGACTGTGCCCTTATCTCCTTCCTCCGGGCTTCTCGGCTCTTCACCCTTTTCCCTTTCTTTTTCCCAGCAGACGCCGCCTGCCCTGCAGCCATGAGGCCCCCGCGGTGTCCCCTGCACATGCCTTCCCTGGCTTCCCCACTCCTTCTCCTCCTCCTCTGGCTCCTGGGAGGAGGGATGGGGGCTGAGGGCCGGGAGGACACAGAGCTGCTGGTGATGGTACGTGGGGGCCGGCTGCGGGGCATTCGCCTGAAGGCCCCTGGGGGCCCTGTCTCTGCTTTCCTGGGCATCCCCTTTGCGGAGCCACCTGTGGGACCCCGTCGCTTTCTGCCACCGGAGCCCAAGCAGCCCTGGCCAGGGGTGCTGGACGCTACAACCTTCCAGAGTGTCTGCTACCAATATGTGGATACCCTGTACCCGGGCTTTGAGGGCACCGAGATGTGGAACCCCAACCGTGAGCTGAGCGAGGACTGTCTCTACCTCAACGTGTGGACGCCACACCCCCGGCCTGCATCCCCTGCCCCTGTCCTCGTCTGGATCTATGGGGGTGGTTTCTACAGTGGGGCCTCCTCCCTGGACGTATACGATGGCCGCTTCTTGGTGCAGGCCGAGAGGACTGTGCTGGTATCCATGAACTACCGGGTGGGAGCCTTTGGCTTCCTGGCCCTGCCGGGGAGCCGAGAGGCCCCAGGCAACGTGGGTCTCCTGGATCAGAGGCTGGCCCTGCAGTGGGTGCAGGAGAACGTGGCAGCCTTCGGGGGGGACCCGACATCAGTGACACTGTTTGGGGAGAGCGCGGGTGCCGCCTCAGTGGGCATGCACCTGCTGTCCCCGCCCAGTCGGGGCCTGTTCCACAGGGCCGTGCTGCAGAGTGGTACCCCCAATGGGCCCTGGGCCACGGTGGGTGTGGGAGAGGCCCGCCGCAGGGCCACGCTGCTGGCCCACTATGTGGGCTGTCCACCCGGCGGCACAGGTGGGAATGACACAGAGCTAGTAGCCTGCCTTCGGGCACGACCAGCGCAGGACCTGGTGAAACACGAATGGCATGTGCTGCCTCAAGAAAGTGTCTTTCGATTCTCCTTCGTGCCTGTGGTGGACGGAGACTTCCTCAGTGACACCCCAGAGGCCCTCATCAACGCCGGCGACTTTCATGGCCTGCAGGTAACTAGTGGCTGGCAGGGATGAAGCTGGCTCCTCTGGGCCCCAAAAGCCCCTCCTGTCCCCGCAGGGACCCAGGCATCAGGGCTTCTCCAGGCCCATTCCCAGAAGTCCTCCCAGAAGTTCTCCCTGAGGGCTCAGATCCCAGGGTGGTCAGCGGGGCAGACAGGAAAGGCACCATGGGTCTATTTTCTCTTTCTCTGCGCCCCTCCCCTGATCTCAGCCTCTCTCCATCCATGGTTGCAGGTCTGTAACTGTTCATCTCTCTGGCTCTTTGTCTGTCCATCTGTTTCTGTCTACCTGTCTGTCTATGCCCATCCCTCCATCCCATCCTCCTCTCCCTCACCCCCAGGTGCTGGTGGGTGTGGTGAAGGATGAGGGCTCGTATTTTCTGGTTTACGGGGCCCCAGGCTTCAGCAAAGACAACGAGTCTCTCATCAGCCGGGCCCAGTTCCTGGAAGGGGTGCGGGTCGGGGTCCCCCAGGTAAGTGACCTGGCGGCCGAGGCTGTGGTCCTGCATTACACAGACTGGCTGCATCCCGAGGACCCGGCGCGCCTGAGGGAGGCCCTGAGTGATGTAGTGGGCGACCACAATGTCGTGTGCCCCGTGGCCCAGCTGGCTGGGCGACTGGCCACCCAGGGTGCCCAGGTCTACGCCTACGTCTTTGAACACCGTGCCTCTACACTCTCCTGGCCCTTGTGGATGGGGGTGCCCCACGGCTACGAGATCGAGTTCATCTTTGGGATCCCCCTGGACCCCTCTCGAAACTACACCGCAGAGGAGAAAATCTTTGCCAAGCGACTGATGCAATACTGGGCCAACTTCGCCCGCACAGGGTCAGCAGTGGAGATGGGGAGGAGGCTGGGGAGGACAGGAATAGGGGCGGGACATAGAGAGAGGCAGACACACACAGATGCAAGGACAGTGGGACAGGGCAGGACAGGAGAGCCGGAGGCAGACAAGCTCACAAGGGAGACAAAAGGGGAAAGAGAGAGACAGGAGACAGAGGCAAAGGAAAGTGAGAGGATGTAGACACAGAGAGGCTGGGCATGGTGGCTCACTCCTGTAATCCCAGCCCTTTGGGAGGCCAAGGTGGGAGGATCTCTTTCGGCCAGGAGTTTAAGACCAGCCTGGACAACATAACAAGACCTCGTCTCTAAAAAAAAAAAAAAAATATATATATATATATATATATATATATATATATATATACACACACACACACACAACTTAGCCAGGAATGGTGGCTGGTGCCTGTAGTCCCAGCTACTCGGGAAGCTGAGGCAGGAGGATTGCTTGAGCCTGGGAGGTTGAGGCTGCAGTGAGCTATGATGGCGCCACTGCACTCCAGCCTGAGCAACAGGGTAAAACCCTGTCTCTGAAAAAAAAAAAAAAAATCAGGAGACCAAGACAAAGGAGTTCGAGCTGGATTAAGTCAAACCAGTGATGATTCACCACCAGTGACATATTCTCACACACACACACAAATTTACCTTGATCAAGAAGAGGACAATGAAATCGAGCATCAGGTGGTGTTAAAATGTGATGTTTATAGACCTACGACCTGTCCTGGTCCTGGTTACTTAGGAAGGGCTCAAGACATCCTAGCCATTTTTTTAGTGGGAGAAACAAAGATGAAACAGAAAAGCTGAGGGAAATGGAGAGGAGACAGGGAGCACAGGAGGAAGGGAAGACCCCGATGACCCCGGGGACATTGGAGAAGGGAAAGGAGTGACTTGGTGGTGGGAGGGAGGGGACGGGCTCTCTGGCGCTCTCTGCAGAGCTGAAGAGTCCAGAGTCCTGTGGGGATGGGGGCTGCCGCTTCTCACTGCCCATTTGGGCTGAGCCTTCCCTTTTTTCCGCAGGGACCCCAATGAGCCCCGAGACCCCAAGGCCCCTCAGTGGCCCCTGTACACGGCAGGGGCGCAGCAGTATGTGAGCCTGGACCTGCGGCCACTGGAGGTGCGGCAGGGGCTGCGCGCCCAGGCCTGTGCCTTCTGGAACCGCTTCCTCCCCAAATTGCTCAGCGCCACCGGTACGCAGGGGCCAGCGGGCAGCGGCTGGGAGGAGGGGAGTGGGAACCGGCCAGGTGTAACCCCTCTATTCTCCCCCTAGCCTCGGAGGCTCCCAGCACCTGCTCAGGCTTCACCCATGGGGAAGCTGCTCCGAGGCCAGGCCTCCCCCTGCCCCTCCTCCTCCTCTTCCTCTTCCAGCTTCTGCGGCTGTGACCACGGCCTCTTCCCCTCTGGCCACAGGGGTCCCTCCTCTAATGAGTGGTCGGACCGAAGGGAAAGACCCCACTCAGGGATCTCAAACCCAGCGCCCCCTCCCTCCTCAAGCCAAGAAAAGGCAGGAGGAGGGGACCGTGCCCCCCACCCGTCTCAGGGTCCCCCACGCCTTTGTTGTTTGAATGGAAATGAAAAAGTCAATATTCTTTTATAAAATTATCTTTTGGAGCTTGAGCCTGACACTGGGGGACAGAGGGAGCCCCAGGCTGAATAGTATTTCCCCTATTGGGGTTATAACGGTCAACCATTTCTGTCTCTTCTTTTTCCCCCAACCTCCCCCTCTTGGTTCCCTGTCCCCCTGCCTCCGGTCATCCTTTTCTCCTCTCTCCTTCCTGCTGTCCTTCTCTGGCCCCGCCTCTGCTCTCATCCTCCCTCCCGTCTTTCGCATTCTCCTGATCCTCTTGTCACCGTCCCACGTGGTCGCCTGCATTTCTCCGTGCGTCCTCCCTGCACTCATGCTCCCCCTCCCACGTCCAATCCCCGACCTTCTTCATGCCGCCCTCCCCCGCACCGCCTCGCCTGGCGCCCTGGCCGCAGACACGCTCGACGAAGCGGAGCGCCAGTGGAAGGCCGAGTTCCACCGCTGGAGCTCCTACATGGTGCACTGGAAGAACCAGTTCGACCACTACAGCAAGCAGGATCGCTGCTCAGACCTGTGACCCCGGCGGGACCCTCACGTCCCCTGCTCCGCCCAGCCCCCTAGCTGTATATACTATTTATTTCAGGGCTGGCCTACAACACAGACGAGCCCCAGACCCTGCCCCTCCCCACCCTCGACGTCCCCCGGGGCTCTCCGTCCTCTGCATGTCTCGGGCTGAGCTCCCACCCCCGCGGTGCCTTCGCCCCTCCGGGCTGCCAATAAACTGTTACAGCCACGGGAGTGTGCGCGACTAGGGAGCCGGGAGTAGGGGGCAGAACGCCGGAATCACGGGGTCCGAGTTTGTGCAGGCGCGGGGCCGGAGGGCGACGGACAGGAGAGCTCTGAGGCGGGCGCAAAGCGCCTGCGCACTCCGGCCAAGGCTGGTCCCTGGCCCCGCCCCGTGGGGCGGAGCTTGCGCCTGCGAAGTGAGTCTCGCGGGCCGGCAGGCAGGCACCGCGGAGGGGAGGGCGAGGCGCCGCGGAGCGTTGTGGGAGTCCTTGCTGGTGGCCGTTGCTTGCCACCTGCGCTGATCACAGAGGCCCGCGGAGCGTGTCCTCAGCCTGCGCGCCGGTCCTGCGGCACCTGGCCCAAGACCCGGAGCCGAGGGGAAGTGCTGGAGTCTGCGGTCGTTCCGCGCCGCCGGGTGGACGCTGTACCCGGCTTGGGACTGCCCCTCCCGCCCACCGCCCTGGAGCTGTTGAGGGACGTCCACGTGGGCCTGGCCCCGCCAAGCCGCGGCCCTGCCCGCCTGGCGCTGCTCTCGGGCCACTACCTCTACTATCACTACGGCTGCGACGGCCTGGATGACCGCGGCTGGGGCTGTGGCTACCGCACTCTGCAGACGCTGTGCTCGTGGCCGGAGGGCCAGCCCGAGGGCGTACCTGGACTGGCCGCAGTGCAGGCGGCTCTGGAGGACCTGGGCGACAAGCCCCCCGGCTTCCGGGGTTCCCAGGACTGGATCGGCTGCGTGGAGGCCAGCCTGTGCCTCGCTCACTTCGGCGAGACCCAGGGGCGCCTCTGCCACGTGCCCCGGGGAGCGGGGCTGCACGGAGAGCTGGAGAGGCTTTACTCCCACTTTGCAGGGGGCGGGGGCCCAGTCATGGTTGGGGGGGACGCGGATGCCAGGTCCAAGGCCTTGCTGGGAGTCTGCATCGGGTCAGGCACGGAAGCCTATGTTCTAGTACTGGACCCTCACTACTGGGGCGCTCCAAAAAGCCCCAGTGAACTACAGGCTGCTGGGTGGGTGGGCTGGCGAGAGATAAATGAGGCCTTTGACCCCAACTCTTTCTACAACCTGTGCTTGACCAGCCATAGCTCAGAACAGCAGCAGCACCCCCTGGACTGAGGGCGAAGTTCCAGAACTGAGACTCTCCAGTCCCAGACATGCATCTGTGTACCTGGGGCTGGTGTCCCCGCAGATCCTGGGCCTTTTGACATCAGTAATAAAAGTGGCAGGGCTGAGCAACACCTCGGGAATTCCTTTGGAAGGATGGAGGAAATATGTAACATATATGAGTCAGAAGCCCTGTGGAAGTGCTTTTATTGGCAGTAAGGCTGATCGTACAAAAAATTCTCAGAGTTGGATGGGACCAGGTAGTCACAAGTAAAGGATGATACAGGAGTGAGGAAGTGAGGAATGGTGACGGTTCAAAAGAAATCAACATCGTCTGGGGCATCTAGGTCCCGATATTCCACAATGGCCCTTGGGTCTCCACGAACCATCCTGTGAGATGAGAGGTAAAGTATGAGAGCTGAGGGTTCCAAAAGGGAGTTTGCAGGGGGCAACAAAGCTTGGGCGTGTGTGCTCCTCCTCACCTGTTGCGAGGTTTCCCAGGATAACCTCCCTGGCCTCGGAAGGCATCGTAGTTCCCTCGGCCAGCACCATATGGGGCGTGGGGGTATGGAGGGCCTCCTGTGGGGACTGCAGGGCGGACAGCACCAGCTATGACAGAGATCAGCATTGAGTTGCAAACCTATGTCCTCAACTCCATCCTCTGTTTCTTTCTCCCTTTCACCCAATGTCACACTCACCAAGCCCCTTCATCTCCCTCCCGTACTTACCTCCATAGCCCAAGATCGGGGGCCGGGGCTGACCGTAGGGCATCAGGCCCTGGGGAGTCTGGTGTGGGTAGGGGAGTCCCGGGGTCAAACCTGGGGGGAGTACAACACGGACGGGGACATGAATTACTGCGGGGGGGTGGGGGGCAGGAACAACTGACTTTTAGGGCTATGGCCTGAGGATGGGGCAGAAACTTCTCGGGCCAACAGGTAAAAGAGAAACAGGAGTCCCTGGACAGTCAAGGGAGAGGAGACATGTGACCCTCATGGATCGTATCTTACTCTGGGCAGGGCCAGGTGGCTGGGCTGGCTTGATCTCAGGCAGAGCTGGGCGCTTGGCATCAGTGAGGAAATTGTTAAAAAACGCCACCTCCTTTTTCACTTCCTCAATTTTCTCAGCATGCTTGTTGAAGATATGCTTGCGCACAAACTCAGGACCCTGGGTGGAGAGAGGAGCGGGGTCACAACAGCCACTTAACGCTTGCCTCACCCCCAGTCCTGACCTGAAAGGATTCCCAGCTCCTGCCTGCCAGTCCAGTGAGCAGTTCTCCCACCTCGGCCCAGGCCTTTAGGGGCTTCCTGTCTCAGCCCCACCTCCCACCACCCTGGCACGACCATTCTCCAACATCCAGACCTTGAATTTCTTGCCGCTGAGAGGACACAGCCACTTATCCTTGCCCAGTTCCTGCGTGTTGGAGGTAACGAATTTCTCCACTTCCTGCTCCGGGTCTTTGCGGCCCATCTTCTGGGCCTCTTCCTCTGAAAGCGACTCCCGCACACTGAGCAACGGCGTGAGCTTCTCCTCAAACGTCTTCTGCCACTCCAGCACTATGGTTTGGGAACAGAGGAAGGAAGGGTGGTGGGAAGGGCTGGAAGACCAAGGCAAGAGGCAGCCAGGGAGAAAGGGGAACCTGGAGCTCACCTTCCCCATGACTGATGCGGTTGGGTGGCATAGGCCCCCGAACGTGGATGATGCCACAACGATTGGGCATCTCATCCTCGTTGGGGTACTCACAGGTGTTGTAATAATCCAAGGAATGCACGATGCGCAGGTAGAGGAGAAGCTTGTCCAATACCTGAGGAAGTTGAGTATGGATGCTCAGCTCCTTGCTCCTGCCCTTACCACCCGACCCCCGCGTCCCTGCGCTGCCACTGCTGGCACCTTGATCAGCTTCTCATCCCGCTCCACATTGATCTCTGCTGGGTTCCCTTCCTTAGGAGGCTCCTCAGGTGGGGCACCCCCACTGCTCCCCAGCAGCTCCTCCTCCTCAGCACTCACTTCCTCAATCAGGTAGTCTGTGATATTCTTCAAGATCGGGTTTTGCGAGGGCAGGCTCTGGTGGAAGGAAGAGGGGCAAGTAAGGCAGAGAAAGACCTTCAGGGCAGGTAACCTGAGACCTTCCGCATGTGAAGAGTGGTGAGGGGTCAGAAGCTCACCAGACTGAACTGGCGCCTTTTGCCCCCTTGGGATTTGTCTTCATTTTTGCTTTTGTTCCACCCCAGCCCACAAATGACCACTAGCATGCCCCAGTTCTGCTGGAAGCTAGAGGACGTGCTACAGACAGGTGAGGTCAGAAGTGCCCACCGCAGAGGAGGTGCTAGCAGCTGCTCCTGATAGTCCTGTGGGAGTCACTGACCGTTGGCAGGGGAGGCGTCCCTGGCTCTGAGGCCCACAGCTGGGTCCTGTCGTCCAGCGTGTGGATCAGCTTGGCCGCCAGCTTGATGTCATTGCGCACAATCTGCTTGTGCTGGGTGATGCCGTTGATGTTGCGGACACGTCGGGTCAGGTCCCTGTTCACACCAGGACTCAGCTCGCACTCCCGGAGCTGAAGGGCAGACATCAGAAGTTTACTCCACTAACCGCACTTGCCAAGGAGAAGTAGCAGCTCTAAGATGCTCCCCTCTTGATTGATCAAACTGTGAGCTCCCTCAGGAAGGGGACCTGACAGGTCCTGTCTTTGTCTGCCTACATTGCCTGCCTGCGTTGCCTCTGGGCAAGACTCTAGGGCAGTCACCAGGACAGATAGGTTAGCTTCCCACTCTCTTCCCCAGAGAGTCCCACCCGAAGCACTCACTCGGATGTTCTGCAGGTTCCAACAGATCTCTTTAATGTTAACACTGCGGTCAAAGGTCACCCAGCCACGACGGAAAAACCTACAGAAGAAAACGTTAGGGCAGTCAAGCGAGGGAGGTGCTGTTGGCCATTAACGTTCCCCTGCACTTTTCCCTCCAACATACCCGGTTACTCACCTCCTCTCTGGCTGCGGCTCCGAGAGCGCCACCCGCATAAAGCCTGGGTACCTTTTACAAAGCTGCAAGAAGCAGAAAACCAGCCCTACTTAGTGACTCAAGGATTCACTGGCTTCTTCCTCCAATCCTGCACTGTCCTCAGAACCCTAGAGACTAACTGCCTGGTCACTCTTCCCATCCTTGGGCAGGGTAAAACCACTGAAGGCCTTCAGAACACCAGCACCTGAAAGCCAATGGCGCAATCAAGACCAGCCCTCGGAGGGCATGGGGTCCTGGGGAAGGGCACCTCCCTATTAGGTGAAACGGGGGCCTCACTGCCTTCCCTCTGCCCTCCACTTCTCCCCACTCACGGAGATGATCTCGGCCCGGGAGATATTGGGTGCGATGTTACGCATGAAGAGGGAGCAGGTCTTGTGCAGCGGCCGAGGCTTGCACTCCAGCCCCGCAGCGTCCTTGGGCTTCTCCCATTCTTCCTCCTTGGGCTTCTCTTTCTCCTTGAGCGCTGCTTCTAGGCAGGAAGTTGGTGTGGTAGGAGTTGGTGTGTTTTTATTACTGATTTTGGTGGGGAGGACAGAGAAACCTTCCCCTAAAAGCCACCCTTCCCCCATCAATGTTGCCAACCTCTCACCTCCCCACCAGCATTAGAATACACTTTAAAAACAGAAAAGAAACCCTACCGGCCTCCTCCTTCTCCTCCTCAGCCTGGCCGCTCTCAGACTCCGACTCAGACTCTGACACACTGCCCTCGTCAAAGCTGTCGTCCCCGCTGTGCTTCCGGTTCCGCTTCTTGCTACTCTGTGCAAGCCACGGCAGAGGGGACAAGTTAACGCACCAGGAACCCAGCCCCGATGCTCTGACCCCGGGTTACAGACACCTCACCTTTTTGGCTTCCTTCTCAGAATCTTCTTTCTTCTCTTCCTTGTCTCC